CAAGCCCCAAAATCTGTTACACGGCCAAAGTTAGTGTTACACAAAAAAGACTTAAAAGACTCAAACTTTATGAACATGAGAAAATATTATCTAAAACATTTAGCATATGAAAACTTTACATTTATATACAAAAAACGTTTCGGTTCGGTTTTGTTCGGTTTCTGGATTCTAAAATAATGAAACCAAACCGTTAATAAATAAATTTTGGTTCGGTTTCGGTTTAGTTCGATTCGATTTTATGGTTGCCTACTAACACTCTTGAAACAAAAACTTCAAGATAAGCTAAGTTATAAGAAGAGAGATGAGACTCACTTTGAGAGTATAATCAGTGACGAGACTGCTCTTAACACCTTGAGCAGCCGAAGCTTTCATGAAGAGATCAATATCGGCTTCCGGGAATATCCCGGCATCCTTTTCTCTCCTCGCAAGCTCATTCAACAGATCTACAACAAGAAGAATCAAACCATTCAACAAAACCGAATCTTGAAAAAAAAAGTTTGATTAAAGATTGAATCTTTTACTTACCATAACGAGTACCAACACCTTGACACCTAGCAGAGAAATCAAGAGTCTCCTTAACAGTCATGATACCAACATGAAGATCGTTCTGACTAATGTAAGCAGAGGTCTTTCTTGGCACAAACTCGTCGAGACGGTAACCATTGTAAGTAATATCACCAGAAACTTGGAGGGCTTCATCAAGTTTACCAGCTAAAGCCAACAGAAGCGTGGTCTTACCAGAAGAAGGAGGACCCAACAAAAGTGTCATCCTTCCAGGTTTAATAACCCCAGAGATATCTTTAAGAATCGTAAGCTGAGCTTTCTTGGCGAATTGAATACCAATCAGACCTAAAGCTGATTCTCCCATATTCCTCACAACATTCAAAAGTGTAGGAAGAGATCTATTACCAGTGTAACAATCAGCTTTAATCGTCAAATGCTCGTACCTGACTTCAACTGTTGGTAGTTTGATACCAACTCTATCGATTCTGTTTCTTAGCTTAGTCAAGATTCTTTCATTATCTTGCTCAGCTACTTTGAAAACCATGTCAATGAACTTCTGACGATCTTCACCATCAAGCTTGGTTACATCAACCTCCTTACTCATGAGCTGGTTACCGTAAACATCGTCTTCGACTACTGCGTTCATGAGAGTTGTTCGGAGACGACTGTAAGTTGGTAGCTTCTCAATGGCTGCCCATTTAAGAGCTTCTTCATCGTCGTTGACTGATTGTGTTCTTCTTGAACCTGATGAGAAGATATCTTCAAAGTTTCTACTTGCTCTGCTTACACTTCTACTTATGCTTCTTCTCATACTCCCACCACCTCCTAATGGAGGAAGATTTGGATTGTAATCCATCTCTCCCCAAAAAGTTTTGTCTTTTGATCAAAGTTTGAGTCTTTTGATCAAAGTTTGAGACTTTGGATCTAATCTTGTGAGAATTTAGTTGGGAGATACAGAGAAGAGAGAGGGAAGAGGATTGATGATGAATGAAGAGAAGAGGGAGAGATTAGAAAAAGGATAAATAGGGAGTGAGGAAGGAACATCAAGGAGGACTTTTCTTTGTGTTGACTATTCTTTACTTAGTTGAAATAATCAAAAATAATAAAAAGTCTTGTTTTTTATGTGCAAGAAGGCTAAAATATTCAAATGCGACGGCTGTTTTACGTTGTTTTTTTAATTACAAAAGATATTTTTTTTTGATAATAATGCGACGGCTCTTTAACGTTGGTTATTTTATTAGAAAGATATTAGGTAATAATTGAAGTGTTTTGAACATTTCATATTCAAAGTCAATAACGATGACCCCATTTAGTTATCGTCGCTACTACTAGTGGAGATATGGTTATATGAAAAGTCTTTCTTGTGTACTTTGATTTTATTGGTAAGAAAAGAAAGACCGTCACTGTGTTCTGGAAAGTGAGAAGTTGTTGATCAAGTCACATTCAGTGCCGTGCCAAGGTTTATCGGAGCTTAAGGCAAAGTTAAATGTTGAGGCCTTTCTAATATATATATTTTTTGAATAAAATAAATAAATGTAAAAATAATTTTAAAACAATAGAAGTTATTCAAAAAAATCGTTAACGTTTTCATTCTCATTTTTGTTAATATTTTCATCATTTTGTTCATTCTCATTTTCCATTGAATCATCGGACTAATCATTTATTTCTTAGTAAGATTTTCAGGTCTTTTAAAAAAAACTTAAGCATAAAACCTGATTACGATTTCACCAACACATCATCTTTGTCTTTCCTATGTCTTAAACATAGAACTTAAGTTAACAAAATATTTAGAAGCAGTCTGAAACCAGTTCCATAATTTAAAAAAGAAACAAAGTGAATAAACAAAAAAAAAAAAAAAAAAAAAAAACCAAAATCCAAGTTCATCACTTTTAAAAGGAATAATATATATATGAAACTATGAAAAGAAAGAGAGGAAATCGAATTTTGGAATCTCAATTCCCTCTTTTTGTTGGGGTTGATTTTCAGTTTTCTTATGCTAAACCATGTCAAAGGAATTGAACCAGAGTTACTCACAAAATAGAGGGACCCTAAAACCATTCTGATACAGCATATTTTCTGGATTTGGGGGCCCTAATATAGATATATATTTTGGAGGCCTGAAACAAATGCCTTTTTTTGTACCCATAGGCACGGCCCTGGTCACATTCACATTTCAATTCAACACATACGTGAAGGATGGTTCGTTTATAAGTCTTTGTGTTATTGAATATGAGAAGTTGCGGAGGAAGAAGCCAATTCACATACCCGGAATTACGTTTATAGTGACAACTCCCCAATGTTGTTATGATAAGAAGACTCCATTGACTTCCTTTCTCAACTAATCTTGATTAGTGATCTTTAATTTGGTATTAACCAATCTCTAATTCATTGCTTCAGCAAGCAATTTCCCTTTCTCTGAGCTATTCTTAGCTTCTTGAACAATGTTCCACAGGTTGGTTTCTTTGTCAATTAAGCTCTCATTTTCCGATAACTCTTTAATCTTTTTGAGATAGGCTGTCTCCTTCAGTCTTCAGTTTATCCACCAAGCTTTCATTTACATTTGACGACTCGCCGGTTTTTTCAAGAGGACAAACCTCCATTGCTCTGAGGCTTTTTTTTTTTCTAAAGCAACATTCTTTGGCTCGACTTTTTTGTCCAACAAGCTTGCTTTCAGTTTCCATTTCTCCAACTCTTTCCAACGGATCCTTAAGTTTAATATTTTATACGGGCTGCTTCTTCTCATTTTGCCTAAGGTTAAGAAAATTCACCTTGCCAAGTTCTTCCTGCACATATAAAAGTTTTCATCACCCGATTTCTTCACACAATCGATCCAATGAAGTTCTTGCTCTTCTCACTCAGTCTTAGAATTGACAAACTCAGTTTTCAGGTTATCAATTTCGTTGCTTGCACCTTCAAGCATTTTTCCATACTTCTCATTTGTATCTTTTGCAGCCCAAATTTCTAATCTGGCTCCTCAATGTGCAAGCAAAGTTTGACATATCAAGAACTTCTCCTTTGTTTCCATTCACATACCCGGAATAAGAAGTTATAGTGACAACTCCTCAATGTTGTTATGATAAGAAGACTCTATTGACTTCCTTTAAAACTCTGTAGACTAATCTTGATTAGTGCTCTGCAATTTGTTATTAACTAATCTCTTATTCATTGCTTCAGACAACAAAATCCTTTTCTCTTAGCTCTTCTTAGCTTCTTGAACAATGTCCTACAGGTTGGTTTCTGATAACAACTCTTCATTCTTCTTGAGATAGGCAGTCTCCACCAAGCTTTCATTTACCTATGACGACTCCTCGAGTTTTTCAAGAGAACAAACCTACCTTGCTCTGAGCTTTCTGTTTTTCTAAAGCAACATTCTTTGGCTCGACTTCTTTGTCAAACAAGCTTTCTTTAAGTTCCATGCTTCCAGTTTCTTCTTCTCCAACTCTGTGTCCTACTCCTTATTCTTCTCCTCAAGTTCCATAAGTTTATTTTTCATCAGTGCTTCCTTTTCTTCTCATTTACCTTGCCAAGTTCCCTATATTTCCGCACAAATGAAGTTCTCACTGTTCCCACATAGTCATAGAATTGTCAAACTCAATTTAGGTGTTTTCTTATCTCAGTCTTCAAAAACTTTTCCATAGTCTTCAAGAATTTTTCCGTAGTTTTCATTTGTATCTTTTGAAGCCAACTTACAACTTTTAATCTGGGCTCCACGATGTTCAAGCTATAGTTGACATATCAAGAGCTTCTCCCTCTGCTTCTCTTGCTTTAAAAAGTACTTACTTGCAAATCAAGAGTTAAGCTTTCCATAGCTTTGCTGCTTTTCTCTTCTTCTTACAGTTTTCCCAACTCAGTTGCAAGTTCGATATGTCTTTTCATTCAATGGGGTCTGAAAACGAGATGTCGCAGTCTTTTATTGAGCAAAGCTCTAACCTTTTCCAAACTTTGAAGTTTCTTCCAAGCTTTTTCGTTTTTGTGAATTGCTTTATTCCCCCTTGTTCTCACTACCCCCTGCCCCCTGGACACGTTGCCATGACAATGCCTGTTCTCATTGTTTACCGATTATTCCCCCTTGTTCTCAGAATTCCTTCCTTCAGAGTTAACAAAACATGCTTTCTGAAAATGCCAAAAACAATATGGTGATCAATAATAGTCTACCAAATTGGCATCAGATTAGTTCATGTTGACGTTAACAAAAGCAGTTTACTACTAGGAGTCTCCATCAAACAAGATGAACCACAAAATGTCTCAATCAAATCAATGAACAATAATCAAACAAACAACCATCATCTTCATTTAATTGAATCTTTTGATCTAACTCCAAATACAAGCTTTAAAGTTAAAAACTCACTAAAGTTAAACCACTATCCAAACTATTTTAGCCCTAGTTAACAATGAAATTCATGATCCAACTTCTTCAAATAAGATCCATCTCAATTTAGAGCTCTAATTATCAATAACTATATCATTTACATAGACCATAAGCATCAAACAAAATGAAAATAGGTACACTTCTATTATAATCCAAAAACACATTTTTCCACCATACATCTACTGATCACACAAGTTATTAGCTTCCATTGAATATTAGTTTAGAACAACATTCAATCGAAGAACCATATTCATCAGAGACACACACACACACACAAAGTCAATACCCAGAGAACTCAATTCAAGGTAAATTGGCTTAACCAGAGATGTCAATAGACTTAACTTGAGCTTTCTTCTTAGTCTCAACCTTAGGAACAGTCACAGTCAAAACTCCATTCTCCATAGAAGCCTTAACTTGATCCATCTTCACATTCTCCGGTAACCTAAACTTCCTCGAGAAACCCCCACTCGATCTCTCTACACGATGCCACGTGTCATGCTTCTCCTCTTTCTCAACGTGTCTCTCTCCGCTGATCTTAAGCACGCTATCATCCTCTATCTCCACTTTAACCTCTTCTTTCTTCATCCCTGGTAAATCCGCCTTGAACACGTGCGCCTCCTCCGTCTCTTTCCAATCCACACGTGCGTTCGCTATCGCCGACGAAGACGACGACGGGAATTGAAGATCCTTGAATGGATGATCCCAAACGTGGAGTGAGAATGGATCGAAGATGTTGTTGTTGATTCGTCTGTTGCTGCCGAATAAGCTTGGAATTAGCGACATTTTCTCGGTTGATTTCGAAATTTGAACAATTTTCCGACGAATTCGATTTCGATTTTTTGATGAAAGCTGATGATTCTGATGAATCTATATATGGTGGTGAAGAAGAAATCTCCAGAGCTTCTAGATTTTTTCGGATGCCAAGTTTCTTCACGAGCATATTGGAGAAAAAGATGAAGATGAGGCAAATCCAGAAAACTCTAGAAGCATTTCAAGTTTTATTTGTGTGTGTTTCTGGGCCAAAATGGGCTTTAAAGGCCCAATATTCAGATATGAGCCCTAGCAAGAGTTAAAGATTTTGATTTTTCCATCAACGGTTGGGGGATTCGAAACAAACATGTTTCCCATAAACGTTGTGGGGGTTTCCTAACATTACATGCATTCCTCTCTGAAAATAGAGAACTTTTCTTTGTCCTGGATGTACTCATAAATATTTATAATTAAGAACTTATCAATGCAATCTTTTGTTGAGAAAAGTATGATTCGAAGATTTCTTTTGTTATTAGATATAGATGTTAAATTACAGTATATATCATCCTAATACTATTGAGTAAAATAGAAAGAATAGTTCATTTCACGTTTTCTTACGTGTTAAGAAGAAACCGTGTTTGCTTGACTTGCTCATCAGCTAATGTGTAACAACATTGTGGATATAGTTTCATTCTTTTGCTTGTAATAAAATAACATCTTACGGAATCCTAGATTTTTTTTTTTTGTTATTTTTTCCCTTGTAGATATATTCTTGGTTCTTCTAAGTGGCCACCAAGTTACACAAATATTTTATTATCTTCCTAACTTTGATACCACCATTGAATACCTTATTATACACGAGTCTCTGATACTTACTTCAAAGTCATAGAGGATTTACTTAACTATTCCTTGCGTACGTTAGAATCCGTGTTCGTATATTGAATCTATTTTTGATGTACAAAAACGTTAAAAAAAACGACAAACAAGTGAGATAATATTTTGACCAAAACAAAACAAAACAAGATAAATAAATTTGACATATTCGATGTTTTTAAAAAATTTGACATGTTCTTACCAAAATTGTGGAGTTGAGAACGAGAAAAGAAAACATTGGGATATAAATTAAAAGTAAATGTAAAATTTGTGGCAGGTGGTGAAATATGACAAGTTTAAAAGGCAAGCCAAAGACGAGTCTTGTTTAAAAAAGCCAAGTACCAACCGTAGCAGTCATCTTCATTGCCTTTTTTCTGCCGCCAAATCTTAATTTCTCCACAAAGCTTCTCTTCTCTCCTTCCATGGCGTAATTCTGAAAAAGTTACCGGTGATTTCACAATGCCTTCCGTTCAAATCCGTTCTTCTCCGTCTCATTCTTCACAGCCGGCGATGACGGTTACTGATCTCAAGCAACGAGTCATCGCCTGTCTTAATCGTCTCTCCGATCGTGACACTTTATCTCTCGCCGCCGCAGAGCTTGATTCGATTGCTCTTAATCTCTTACCGGAGAATTTCTCTCTGTTTATAAATTGTCTCCAGAGTACAGACTCTTCGGCGAAATCTCCGGTGAGAAAACATTGCGTTTCGCTTCTCTCTGTGCTTTCTCGTTCTCATGGCGATTCTCTCACTCCTCACCTCTCAAAAATGGTCTCAACTGTCATCCGCCGCCTCCGAGATCCTGACTCCTCCGTCCGTGCTGCTTGTGCAGCCGCTTCCGTTGATATGACTACAAACATCACCGGAACTCCATTCTCAATCCTCTTGGGGCCAATGATCGAAACACTTATCCACGACTGTGATCCCAATGCCCAGATTGGTGCTGCCGTGTGCCTTACGGCGGGTGTAGATGCCACGGATGAGCCGGATGTTGAGCAACTGCAGAAGGCACTTCCGAAAATCGGGAAATTGCTAAAATCGGATGGTTTCAAGGCGAAAGCGGAACTTCTAGGAGCCATTGGGAGCGTAATTGGTGCTGTTGGCGGCCGAAACAGTGAAAAGGCGGTGCTAGATTGGCTTTTACCAAACGTCTCAGAGTTTCTAAGCAGCGACGATTGGCGTGCGAGAAAAGCTGCCGCAGAAGCGATGACTAGAGTAGCTATGGCGGAAGAAGAATTAGCTCCTTTGTATAAGAAGACATGTGTAGCTATTCTTGAGAGCAGAAAATTTGATAAGGTAAAATTTGGAAACAATTTATGATAAATTTCATAAGAATGTGCAATCAATTTATTGTGTTTGACTTAGTTGTTCATATCTTATCTGTGCAGGTCAAACTTGTTAGAGAGACGATGACTCGTACATTGAGTTTATGGAAGCAACTTGAAGGTGACTCAACAGAGGTCTCAGAGTCATCTTCCTCCTCAAAAACAGCTTCTTCTGGTTTGTCTGCGACTTCAGGAAAGAGAAGCAATACATTGAGAAGCAAAGATAGGAATTTAAACGCACCACTAAGCTCAAAGTCGAATGATGTTGAGCCTTTAGATCGTGGTGACACTCCTAAGGATGTTGAGCAGGAAGCTGTTGTATCGAAAGAGAAGCGGAAAACACTGGAAGTTAAACGGGCTCTGTTCCCGGCAAAGACGTCTAAGGTCAAAGAGAACGGGTCGAACAAGTCACTAGTTGTTCAGAGTAGTGATGAGGAGAGTCCTAAAACTGAAAATGGTAGTAGCAGTTCTCCTCAGGCAAAGAATAATGCAGAAGAGTTGTCTCTGATAAGAAACCAGATTACTCAGATCGAAAAACAACAGTCCAGTCTGTTAGATCTCTTTCAGGTTACCTTTTTCTCTAAACTCACTGATTATTATTTCTTTAAAACATCCAACAGTGTTGTGCTAACTTTTGAATGTTTTCTTGGACCTAATATTGCAGAAGTTTATGGAGAGCTCGCAGAACGGAATGCAATCTCTGGAGAGACGAGTACGTGGTCTAGAAACATCCTTCAGCGTAATCTCCACTGATTTACTAGTCTCTCGCACCATAACACAAAATGGAAACCATAAACGAAACGCCTGTCGACAGAACTGAAATATCTGAAAGCTCATTTTACCTAACACTTCAAAAGTAAGCATGTGAAGAAGATTCATATCTTGGAATGCATAAATTCTGAGCTGATGTATAATTTGGAATGCACTAAGCTGATGTATAATTGTTTTCTGAAGCTATTTTTACAATTCATTTCAACTTTATGTAACCACATAATCACACAATGAATTCATTTCGACTTTATGTACCCACATGATCACACAATGAACAGTTACCTTTAGTGATCGATGCATGTAATGTGTTTTCGCAAGATAATTATATCCTTTTTGTGTTTTCTGGTCTAGTTGCTTTCAAACTGTTACTCTGGAAATCTCATCAGAATCAATAAAATATCTCCCCAATGTCGCATCTAGCTTCTCCCCAATTGAAGAAATCCAAGCCTAGATATGATAAGCAAACTTACAATTTGACTTGCCTTATTAACTTTTCTAAGTCACAACCAACATAGAGAAGTTAAAGATTTCCTAACCTGGTCTGACGACGTGAAGCCTCTAATCGTATTTCCACCAATGACTGCGATTCCTTTATCTCCAAGCGGCTGCAAAATCACTGCCTGTAGAGAAAAAACAAGTATTCGTCACATGGATTCATGATCATTCCCTCACTCAAAAGAGTAACACTCAAATTCTCAACAAACCTGTGTATTTGCAGGTAGAAATGGTAGCTCTGATCTCCCAGGATAAAGAGAAAGATTGGCCAAGTAACTCTCTGACATACAATCATTGTTCTTCTCTTAGATAAATGTCACACAAAATATATAAACAAAAATCCATACTACTTACGTGCTTTAGATTTCATTACACCTCGGTAAACCGATCCTTGCATCAGCTTATCGGTGTTTACTACAACTGCTTTCTTATCTTCAGGAGATTCAGCAACCATCCCAATTTGAATAAGGCAAATTCCATTGTAGACAATAACTAGAGACTTACAACATGTTGCTACCTTAAAAGATTCCCAAGCCCTGAGAAAATATACAAAAGTCAGATTCTATTTCTACATATCTTTCTATGATAACATTCATCTTATATCAAACTGTAATAAGAGCTACTAAGCAGAGAGCATTACCATAACAATTCGGAAACTACCGATGCAGGAAGACCGGATTCTACAACTTTCCACTCCACACCGTCAGGTTGTACCTGATATCAAACAAAACCAAGAATCACATTGCATAGTCAAATCCTCCAAAGTTTCAATTCATAAACTTACAGGTGTTATGGACTTAGGTCGAATCGATAACCAGACTAAACCAGTCAATAAATTGGTGACAGCCAAGCCAAGCGCCAATAGATCTGCTCTAGACTGAGAGCTATACGAATTACAAAATCCACCAAATGAGCAACGATACAAAAAAAAAAAACAAAGGAATCGAAACTCGATTTGAGCCATTGTTTACCTGCTAGCATCGGCAACAGGAGCGATACCGGAAACAGTCCGATTGAAGAGAACAGCTAAAAGAGAAGCGCCTCCGACGTAGATCGGTAAGCTCCGAACCAAGTCATCGTTTTTGGAAATGAAATCAGCTACCAAATTCTTGCTCGGTTTCGGACCTCTGTAACTTCTCGGCTTCTGGTGACCCGAAAAAAACTCGAAAATTTCAAAAAGGAAAAAGAGAGAAAAGAAAAAATAAAGAGACGAGGAATGAGAGAGAACCTGTGAGGTTGAAGAAGAAGAAGCTCTGATAAAGCGCGGGAAATCTAAAGGAGTACGAGAAAATTTGGGATTAGGGTTCCAAGGGATTTGAATTTGGAGGATGATTCTCGCTTCCATTGAAGATGTTGTAGCAAGTGAGGTTAGAGATAGAAGATGAAAGATTGGCCGTTAGGAGAAAGAAAGAACCTATTTCCATACGACGGCGTTTCGTTCAAGGCAATTCTAATTGAATTTTAAGTACCGAGCTAAGAACCGGTTTCGAATTGAAAACCGACCAAATTTTGTTAAAACAAGTTTTACTGTTAGTTACCAACATCCGCGAAATAATAACTTTTGATAATTTGAATCAAAATTCAATTTAATATTTTATTTATTGCTAATCTAATCTTTTATTATTTATTGCTAATCATATATATGAAAAGAGAATAACTCTCTCCATATGAGTGACACGTCAGCACTTGAGGAGAGGACATGTGTACAACTTAAATATTCAATTAAATGTGGGAGAATCGTGGTTATGTTTTTCAGTTTCAGTTACCCCTCTTCATCTTCCTTTCTAGAGTTTAATGGCAAGTATCTTTTTGTTTCTTCCGTATGTCAAAGATGAGAATCAATGTAGAGGTAAATTTCAAGTATTAATTGGTTGCAAAGGTCTTAAGTCTGATCAGTTACAATTTCCTCTGAATAGATCTGATCATTTCCCATTGGAGTTCTGTTTAAAATTGTTTGTGGTTGTTTGAGTTATTGCGGAAAGTTTTACAGTCACATCACACAATTTTGTTGATCATATATTTGTTAAATCTTTTTTATTACTTCCATTTCTCTTCTTTCCCTGTCTCTTATCATGCCCAAATCCAACGAGGGAGACGTCTGCAAAAATATTCTTTAGATAAAAACCATTTAGAAGATTATGGAATTTGATTTTTTGGGGTTATGATGAGTAAATTATTTACTTCTTTTTTCTTCATGGAAACTTGGTATTGGAGACTTTGATTGTCTGTGTACAAAGTGATACTTGCCACATGTATGAAAAGCGCTTGAAGAATGTGCTTCTGCTCTAAGTTTTGATGGGTGGCTGGTATGTTTTGTCTTATTATAATTTTCATGCATAAATATTGTTCTAATCGTAAGCACTGTTTTAGTATGGGCCTAACTCACACCCAAAAGCTAGCTCAAGAGTGGAGGATTGCCACATATAGATATGTTGGCCACAAATCTCTCAATTACTCGATGTGGGACAATTCTAACACCCCCCTCATGTTCAGGATTGGACATCTGAAACGTGGAGTTTATGAGACTCGACATCCACGGGTATGGGTCACAATCAAGTGAATTGGAACCTGGGCTCTGATACCATTTTAGTATGAGCCTAACTCACACCCAAAAGCTAGCTCAAGAGTGGAGGATTGCCACATATATATATATATATATATATATATATATATATATATGTTGGCCACAAATCTCTCAATTACTCGATGTGGGACAATTCCAACACACTTCTCTCTGTAAACCTAAGGATTTTGTCTTTGAGTGGTGCTAATTTGCTTATGAGTTTTATTTTATGTATCTTGCATAGGAATGCATGTTGTTAAATGTTGGCTTACTATAGAATCAGAAACTGGTTAAGTAGTGTTTGATTTTTAAAATTCAAATAGATCATGAGATTTAGGAACTATGTTTTCTTCTTATCATAATTCTAAAACATGATATACTATAGTCTCTTTAAAAAATTTTTTTTTTATAAATGCCGCGGAAACATATGATTCAATGGCTTGAAAAAATGGTTTGGTGGCTACTCCAAAGTTTGAGTCACATGATATTGATCATGATGGTGTATGCATTCGTTTTTCATTAAATAATTTTAAAATTGGAAAAATCACATTTTAAACCTTCAAAGTGTCACTGAGTAGCACTTTAAACCTCGAGATAATTTCACTAACACTATAAACCTTTAAAATGATTTTACTAACTCTTTAAACCTTAAAACTAACTTTTTTGTTTGCACCACCATAAAAGATGACAGAACTGTAATATTTTTTGACGCGAAATAATTAAATTATGTCGGTTTAATTTAAATTTAATTAGTTTTTTTTCTATAAAAAAATAAGAGAAAAATATATTTTTTTAAAACTTCATATTCTTCGATCCGCTCACCATCCACTCACAAATGGTTGGACAGTGAATAGACGAAGAAGATAATTTTTAATGTTTTAATTTTTTATTAATCATAATAAATAATTAAAAATATTTAAAAAAGTATTTAAATCAAATTAACATAATTTAACTATTTTACATTGACGGATCCGTCATGTTTTGTGGTGGTGCAAACATGAAAGCTACTTTGAAGGTTTAAAGTATAAGTAAAATTACTTTTGTGGTTTATAGTGTTAGTGAAATTGTCTCGAGGTTTAAAATGCTACCCATTGATACTTTGAAGGTTAAAAATGTGATTTTCCCTTTTAAAATTGATACTGGTCCCGAAAAATGTAATTACTCATATTTATAAAAGAAAACCCGCGCGTAGCGTGGGTATTCACCTAGTCTATATATAATGGGAGAGACTTCTCTCTATTTAAGACATCCACATCATTACCAATACTACTTATTTTACATTAAAACAAATTTAAAATATTTATTTAATGCATATTTATGTTATTTATAGTTAATAAAAAATTAAATAAATAAGAAAGAAATATGTAAAATGGGAAAAATGTCAAAAAATTCGCGAACTTTCAAATTTGGGACGAAAAAAGCATGAACTATCGAAATGTCATTTAAATCATAAAGTTTAGGTTGACTTTTTGACAAAATAGTGAAGTTTAGTTTGACTTGGCCATTTCGGGCATGCCGTTAACCAGACGATAACGGTGTTAAATTTCCGTTAGATTTCTCCGTTGAGTCAAAACGACGTCATTTTGAAACACTGAAATGACGTCGTTTCATTAGAAAATAAGATGAAAAAACTGCATCTGTCGGGAATCGAACAGCTGACCTACTGGACTAATGAGAGGTGCTCAACCGTTGCGCTACGATAACATTTTTTGGTATTGTACCAAACCGAACATATATATACTAACAAATAACTATGTACAATTAATTAAAACAATATACAATTTATTAACAATAACAAAACTAAAAAACAATAACCAAACATATACAAATATTAAATATACTTCCATAAATATATATTTTGAAATTTTTACAATCCTATAATCCTATAATTTATAAAATCTTTATTCCTATAATTTATACAATCTTTGATCCTATATTTATGTGAGAAGAATTGTATAAATTTTATATTTATGTGAGAAAGATTGTATAAATTTTTTGTCATATATTTAATTTACTATATTCTATAAGTTTCATTTTTGTTTTTTTATAATTTAGGAAAAAAAACAATTTTCCAAATAAAGAAGAAATCTTTATATATAAAATTAAATATTTAAAAATTTCAAAATATATATTTATGGAAGTATATTTAATATTTGTATATGTTTGGTTATTGTTTTTTAGTTTTGTTATTGTTAATAAATTGTATATTGTTTTAATTAATTGTACATAATTATTTGTTAGTATATATATGTTCGGTTTGCTACAATACCAAAATGTTATCGTAGCGCAACGGTTGAGCACCTCCCATTAGTCCAGTAGGTCAGTTGTTCGATTCCCGACAGATGCAGTTTTTTCATCTTATTTTCTAATGAAACGACGTCGTTTCAGAGTTTCAAAACGACGTCGTTTGGACTCAACGGAGAGTTCTAACGGAAATTTAACACCGTGATCGTTTGGTTAACGGAAATTTAACGGCATGCCCGAAATGGCTAAGTCAAACTAAACTTCACTATTTTGTCAAAAAGTCAACCTAAACTTCATGATTTAAATGACATTTCGAAAGTTCATGCTTTTTTCGTCCCAAATTTGAAAGTTCGCGAATTTTTTGACATTTTTCCCTATGTAAAATATATGACATAAATAATAATAAAAAATACTATAAAATTTTTATTAGTAGTAATAATATAATTTAACTTTATAAAGATAAAAGAGTGTTATATTAAAACAAATTTAAAACATTTATTTAGTTCAAATTTATATTACTTATAATTAATAGAAAGATTAATTAAATAAGAAACAAATTATGTAAAATATATGATATATTAAAATAATAAAAAAGATACTATAAAACTTTTTAATAACAAATTTTCTTAACCAAAATCATCTCAAAACTCAATAAAACTCAACTCACTCTAAATTTTTCATTTAATATACCCCATTAGTATTATCTTTCTCAATTAGTAATTTTACTAAAAAAGTTTTATTATTACATATAATTGAATAGATAACAAATCTGAGTCTGGTAATACTATCTATCTATGAGAGGTGCTTATTTGAGTAATGTTAATATAACATCTTTGTAATATAGCCATGCATTAATAGGTTTAGATTGATATATAAACTGTCCAAAAGTAATCAATGTGTGGCAATTGTATAGACACTATAAATACAGTTTCATTTAGACAACCTCACTCAACATTTCAATACTGCTCATATTCAAAACATAATTCAAAGAAAAGAAACATGAAGCTATTCTTGATCACCATGGTGACCATTTTGACCATCTCAAGAGTATTTGACAAAGCACCAGCCACCACCGAAGCAAGAAAGTCGAAGAAGATGGACGGGCATGAGCATTTCAATGACAATTTGGATCCTACTTTTCGTGGGCACACACTTGGTGTACTTAAAAAAGTTTTCATTGAAACAAAATTAAAGAAAATTGAGGGTATAAATAGTCTAAACAACAGGTTTGCAACTGATTTTGCGACTACTAATCCAGGAGATAGTTCTGGTATTGGACATCCAGGAGTTGTTTACAACAGATTTACAAATGATTTCGCGCCTACTAATCCAGGACATAGTCCGGGTATTGGACATCCAAAAGTTATAAACAACAAATTTGTAAATGACTTTGCGCCTACTAATCCAAGACATAGTCCCGGTATTGGACATCGAGGAGTTGTAAACAACAGATTTACAAATGATTTCGCACCTACTAATCCAGGAAATAGTCCGGGTATTGGACATCCAAAAGTTATAAACAACAAATTTATAAATGACTTTGCGCCTACTAATCCAGGACATAGTCCCGGTATTGGACATCGAGGAGTTGTAAACAACAGATTTACAAATGATTTCGCACCTAC